CACGAAAACGGTGGTTATGGGTTTTTATGGGCGGGGAATTAGGACACGCAGGGGAATATACTTTAATAAATGCTAAATTCATTTTTATTTTAATGTATTTAGAAGTGTTTTTGACTTACATCTGTAGATTTTCCTAATCTGTATTATAGTTTAACTTATTGCGGAAAAACCCGATTATCAAACTGCAGGTTTCTTGAATTTTCCGAAAGATTGAGATGTTGGTTAGGAGGTCGTTCACTTCAACTTACCTGAGGTCCAACTTACCATCCTCTAGTTAGATTAGTGTAGACCGTGGCGCGAAGCGCCGCGCCAACCTTCAATTTACAAGTGGAACAACCTGCTCCCAGCGGCCACGGGAAGCAAATTCGATTACATTTTTTTCACTTTAAACTTACTTCTAAAACTTTCCTTCTCTGCCTATCTTATTACCTCACCACCCAAAACTCTTTAACCACCGTTTTTACTGGACAAAATGCTGGGACTAGGGGTATATGAGTGGGCCTACGTAAGTTCCTTTTACCTGAGAAAGCAATTTAATTAGATATTTCGGCGTCTGTGCACTTTACCTTTTTTGAAGATTAAATCAAGATGAAAATGGGAAATATCAACCAATTTTTGACTTCCCTAAAAACTAGCGATATATCTTCTGTAAAAAATGAAGAAAATCACTTTTCGATGTAGACCGGAGCAGATTTCAATATATTTTTTTACTTCTAGGCTCAGATCTAAGATAATAAAAAGCAGAGCGGTGGCAGAATATCAATGAAGATTTTGAAATCACCAATAATCTGCCGCCGTTTCGTTTCAAGTTTTTATATTCATTGTTTTTGCGGTATAAATAGAAAATATTTGGACGTATTTTGCACACGGCCTGACAGAAAAATTGACGACATGTCTCGGGTGTTTGTATTTATGCCTGTTTACGGTCTTCATTTTCTATGGGGTCAAACAACTTACAGCCTTATGTGTTTATTACTTTGTTTTATGATACAAGACTTACCAGGTTTGCAAATTAGAATTGTTCAAACTTAATTCACCCTTTTTTCCAACCAATAAGGCGTTACCCTTTAATTGCACTTACTTCAGTTTCATGAACGCAAAACAACATTGCCTGTTCTGTGAGCACACGTAGTTAATAAGCTTCTGTTTTTTTAAGATTTTTATAGTACAACAAGCACAAACAAGAAGTATTCCCCGCAGCGTTTAATAGCGTAGGAAGTTCTTTGGATATTAAAAAACATTGGATTTGGCCCAATTCCGTCTCTATCTGCCCCCAGTATGCTGATCTAAACTGAACTTTCTCTACTAAGCAGTCTTTTGCGTCCCAGCTCAAATTTGGATCTTAGCATTTCACTAGATATGCAATCTACTGTAAAAGTCCAAATTTTAACTGCCATTTAAATATTTTGGGAGGATTATTTAGGTCATATCTGGGGTATAAACTCTTCAGTGTCATGTGTTTGCGATCGTTAATGGTAGAAAGTATTGTATTTGCACCGGGTCGTCATGGCGATGCCCAACCCTACGGGCGACAGCCAACATTTGCGCTGTCTGTAATTGGTGCCTTCCTGGTCTAATTCCACCAATCCAATTAAGCTTTATGCTCGCGTGACCATCTCAGCAGTGGACTTCAGCAAAGCAAACATTCCTTCCTCAAAATTAACAGCCTTCCTTGACTCTAGTTAGAAATTGACGCTCCGGCCTCTTTTAATTTTGTTAACGACCGAACAAGCAGCACACAGTCGGAAGAACGGAACAAAGTGATGTCTGCCGGTAGATTTCGCTACTACTTCTACGTTCTTTCGTCGCTCTCTTGAAGCAAAGAAACGAGAATATGTATTCGTCGGGCCCTTACAGCACCAGCCCTGTTTATAACCGTTTCAGCGAGCGTTTTGAAAAGGACATTGCACCGATTTCTAGTGCTGGGGACAACCCCGTGTACGAAAACTGTGTGAGCTCGATTCCGAGCAGCCAGATGATTGTTTCACACACTGTCGGGCTGCCAAGACAGTACCCCCACCATTGGGGCGACATGGCAGACAACTTCCAAGAACTGCCCGCTTTGGAAACAGCTCTCCGCGCGGATCAATACAACTCCATCGAGTCGGCGGCTGCACCCGAAGCAAGGTCTGCCAAAATATCGCCCTACAAGGCTCTAAATACATGGAACTCCTGGGACTCTGGTATGCAGTTAACTCCAGGCTCCGTGGAGCGGTATCGCGATTTATCCCCACCATCGTCTGATTCTGGCCTGGGCGATTCAGCCGCCCTGGATTGTGTAAAAATTAGTGGCGGAACCAAGGAATACCTGTACTATGGCCTGCCAATCTCTGAAGTAGGCTTCTACCTTACACAGTTCTCCCCAAGACGCTAGGGAACAGTACGCAAGACGTAAGCTTTATGAAAACAACTGTGCCACTATGAAACGAACTTTATATGAAAATAAACAGACTCCTTATCAATTTTATTTAGTGTGCTCATACAGACTTTCCCATTTCTTCGACTGTGATCAACAGTCCAGTTTGTTTGAGGGGAATGTAGGTGTGTACCTTTTAACCGCCTATTTGTTTAAATGCATGTTGTGATATCAAAAAACTAGTACCCCAGCTTATTGGTGGGGCTAAATGACAGGAGCCAATGAAGTGGGACAAAGAAAAAATAGGAGACAGTGAAAAAAGTTCCCTGGAATATTTTAGGAGAAAAAACTGTCGCTCATGGGAGGGCAGTAAGTTAGGTCGAAACAGCAAAGGTATCGTAGAAGCCATGGGGATTATCATCAAAGTGCGGAAGATGTGGACAGATACTCCCTTGCGGATTTCAGAGTCCACCGAAAAGACAGACGTACTCACCACGATCATCGGCAGTCCATTGCGGGTTGACACAGGGGGGAATTGTTAGGAGCCACGTAGACTTCGTTGTAACAAGCAGTTTCAGTTTATTTGGTGAGGGTACTAGGTAATGCTTTTGAAAACCCCATTGTTTGCGTTTCGTGCGTCGTATACATCTGTGTATGCACTGTTAAAAATAGTCACTATTAGGATGGTATTCACAAAATGCGAGTAGTATTTTATGGTAGGGATTCCTTGTGGGGTCGCCTGAGGAATGTATGAAGCGCGCCCCTCAGGCTCACGGGCACCTGATTTTAGGGAAGAGGACGGGCGGGGCATGTCGGGGAACAAACTAGATCGAAATATTTCTGTAAAATAAAAAAAGTTACGACGATAAGTTGGATCGCGTAATCTAACCTTGGGAGAAGACACTGAAATGGGCTTCATTATCATCGCTAGCCCCCCGCCCGA